TATTTCTTTTCTTTTTCTTTTTTCAGGCGAGGACTATTTCCTCATCCCTTTATTTCGTTACTTCATTTTGAGTTACTGTCCTGGGGTTTAACTAAAGATGACTTTTTCAGAGATCATCCATGAAACAGCCTTGTAAGCAAACACATAATGTTTGTGGCTTGCACAGAGCCTTTAAAAACAGAAAACAGAATGCCAGCTCTTTGTGCTACTCCCTTTCTTACCATGGAAGCATACTGTCATCAAATTATAATTATCATCAACTACTTCCTGCCTTGAATGAACAAAGGAAGCCCATTTCTATGGATTACTGTAAAACCACACTGGTTTAGAATTCTGCCAGAGGGCTTGGGAGAAAGCACACTAAGGGGTAGTTTAGGGAAGATTGACCATTAAAAATCTGAATTACATCTCATTTTTAAAGAAATACTATTTTGTTTAAATACAGAAAACTAAGTTAATGGTCAAGGTTTGTTTTTAGTCATATAACTTCCTAATATGTCTGCAATTCATTCATTTATGCATTTAATCACGCATTCAGAGAATGAGTTTACAGTAGCTTCTACACACCGAGTACTGTTCCAGATGCTAAGATTACAGTCTTGAACAAGAAAAGCTCCTGTACCCGTTGGTTACATTCCCATAGGGAGGCCATCAGCAGATAATCTAGTATTTAATTCCATGCAAGTTGAAGCACTTGGAAGGAAAGAAAACAGGAAAGAAAACAGGCACTGATGGAGTAGATTGCTGAGGCGGGACACTCAGGGAGGGACTCTCTGAGGAAGAGCCCTGAATGAAAAGAGGGTATACACCGTGAGAAAGCCTATGGGACAGCTTTCCATATTCTATAAGACTATATTCAAGGGCCTTGAGGTGAGAATGTGCTTATAAGGTCCAAGGGTCAACAAGAAATCTAGTGTTATGTCTGGGTCTGAAATGTATCCTAGAAGCTTATGTGTTGAAGACTTGATCTTTGTGTCAGCTTTTTTGGGGGTGGTGAGGGGTAGGGGGTTTACCTTTGATTTAACTCAGAGGCTCTTGACCACTGAGCACATCCCCAGCCCTATTTTGTATTTTATTTAGAGGCAGGGTCTCACTGAGTTGCTTAGTGCCTCGCTTTTGGTAAGGCTGGCTTTGAACTTGTGATCCTCTTACCTCAGCCTCCCAGGTTGCTAGGATTATAGGTGTACACCACCATGCCAGGCGTTAGTCACCTTTTTTTTTTTGCTATGACCAAAATACTTAACAAGAACAGCTTAGGGGAGTAAAGATTCATTTCATCTCATAGTTTCAGAGATGTGAATCCATGGTCAGCTGGTTCTGTTTCTTTGCGCCTGAGGTGAGGCAGAACATCCAGTCAGAAGGGTGTGGTGGAGGTTCTCAGCTCATGACCCCCAGGAAACAGGTAATGGGGTGGGACTGGGGAGAAGATAATCCTCCAGGACACTCCCCCAGTGACCTACTTCCTCCAACTGGGTCCCACCTCCCAGTAGTTCATTCAGCTATTAACGAATCCATCAAATAGACTAATCCACTGATAAATCTTCATGATCCAATCATTGCCTGAAAGGCCCACCTCCAACCTTGTTGTATTGGGGACCATGTCTTCAACATGAGACTTTGGGGGAAATTCCAGAGCCAAACCATAAAATCACCAGTGCATC